CCATATGTTGCGGAAATACAGTATCGATTCGACGCAACATGTCCAATGCGCGATTCTTCAGTCTTTCATCTATTTATGAGAAGCGTCTATTTATGATACAAATAATATGATTTTAAATATTCTAAAAGGTTTCTCATTGATATTGTACTATGTTAAAACGTTTTATCAATTTTGCGATATAACTATCAGCTTCTGGCATTCATAAAATTTAACGTGAATAATAGAATTCATTAAATATATTTTAAAGCTTAAAATTACACTACAGATATTCATTTGCAAATAATAAATTATAATATAATATAAAGAATAGTAATATTCACAATAAAATCGATATTATTGTTGTTGGCTATTCCTCTTGCATTAAATAAAAGCAAAAAAAATTTATTTTTTGCAATTGTTATTTGTCAGATAAATATAAATTTACTACGTATTCTGTCCTATTATTACAAACTATATCTATCGTACAGACAAAATCCTCGTAAAAATACTTTTACTCAAAAAAAATTCCAACTAATTCACAATTGAATGTGTTATACTCACACTTTTGATATCGGGCGTTCCAAAATGTTGAAGCCCATCTACTTGCCGCGACGCGGTGCGCAATCATGGAACACCTTCGCGGGATGATCGCGCGCAGCCGATAGCGATAACACGGGGGGTGTTCACGCACCTGTCTAAGTCCGCGCCGCGCGCCGACAACTAGACGGCCGCGTAGTCACTCTATCGCACCACTTCGCGAATTGCACTCACCTACGAGTGATTCTCTTCGTCGCTGTCGGCACATGAGAATACCGCGACGCACACGGAAACGCTCATCCACGATGATCACGGACGACGACACCCGCGGCGCGAATCTGCCGGCGGTTCGAAGTGTCGTGCGAATGCTACGACATACTCGCGCGCGCAAACGAATAGATAGTAAATGGAAGAAAGAGAGAGGAAGATAGAAGAGAGACAGAGAAAGAGAGAGAGAGAGAAAGAAAGAAAGAAAAAGAGAGAGAATACAGAGATGATGCGTGGGTGCGGGTGGACGATTTAAAGACACGACGCTCTCGACGACGACGGCTCGAAGTCGTCACGACGACTGGCATAACCGACGGCAGAGAGCGACACGACAGCCCCCGGTGGCCGGGTTCGACGCATGCGTCTTCACCACCCCGTGCCCAACCCTGTTTTTCACGAGACAACCACCCTCGCACGTAGCCAGCCGCTTGCCTTTTCCCTCCATCTCGTTCTGTGTTACTAGCCGTTGTCGGACAGTTCTGAGAGTTTTCTTGGCGCGCTTCCGCGCTGCGAGGGTGAGAATCGAGGTTACACAAGTGCACCGATAATATCAAGTCGGTGTCTCACCTTGTTTGCTTAGAGACCTACCCGCAACCATCGTCTCGTCGCTATAACTATCACAATATATTCCTAAGGGTTTCTCGCGCCGTTTCCGAGGACACACCGCTTATATGTGTAATTGTATGTGCGTCAGGGAATTTAGTGTCACTCTCGCAAGTTTATTTTCCTAGAAACTCCCCGAGCGCAATGATAATCTTTGTGTTTGCTCATTTCGCTCTTACTAATTGTCACTATATATTCATTAAATCATCGAAAGTTTTCAAACATGTAAAATTAATTTTTAATAACATAGTTTTATAGAATGGATTTTGCAAGTTTATTTAGCATTTCTCTCAATCTTGTCCCGTATTGTTATTTTACTTTTATAACATTTCATAATTTTTTGTTAAATTCTTCAATATTTTTCATTATTTTTTTTTAAATAACGATTATATTTGTATGGTAATATTAAATTTTTTACTCACCAGTTGATGCATGTCGTTGAAGTTCTATGACGAAATGCAAAACGACGAAATCCGACTTGGAACGTTGAGAAACGAGCAGATCACAATCACGGGTCGATTAATACTCCGAGACGATAGCTCACTAAACACTCCTAACACTTATTCACATGCAGAATTTATTCGAAACCAGTAAAAAAAGACACGAGAACACGGAACGATTGCGATCCGACCGCGACATAAGAGCGTCGATATGAACTATGCAACGTTAAAGATTTGAATAATTTCACGTTACTGATTGTCGCGCAAATATCTCAATATTTCAAGTACGCGACATAACCTATCTGGATGAATTCATCACGGCAAACGATGCTTTTCAATGTTTTTAATATTAAATGGCATTTGCGATGTTCGTCGGACGAAAATAGCGTGAAATGTATATTTGACGAAATACGCATTTTGGATAATAAACTCTTGTGGATGAATCGCAAAACGACGCGTCAGGCCGAACTTCGATTCTGAATGTCAACAAACACACTGATCGCTTAATGGTCGATTAATACTTCAAAACAATTGCCCATCGCTGGATTCAATACTTTTGACATTTGTTTACATGTTAAATTCACCTGAGACAAATAAAACAGACGCGATAATACGGAGTGATTCTTACCGTCATTCAGCTGCGCAACAAGAGACATTCAACGTGAAGTGAGCTATGAAAAAAATTTCAATAATTTTACAACGGTTGCGTGCACTGACTGTCGCGCGGATATTTCAATATCCAGTAAATAGTTAAAATACGTACAAAAAATATAAAAATGTTTTTAAAACTTTTTGTTAGACTATGCATAACATACGTTGTAAAAATAAATATATAAAAGCTACTTGAATTTTATTGTAATTATAGAATAAATAATTACGAGAGAGACAAAGAAAAAACTTAATTATTATTAATATTGATTAAAATTTTTCATGCTACAACTTTCATGCTTCAACTTTTAATATTAAAAAATATTAGCTTATTTTACAAAACCGAATAAAATAATGTTTGAATGTATATACTATAACTATATATGACCGCGAAAATTGATTCCGATCGGTTATATATCAAAAAATAGCGTGGTTCTCGAAATCCAACTTCCATTAACCGCGCATTGTAATTTGCACCTCGACAAGCGGACGTTAATTGACTGCGAAACAGGGCGCGGCAATGCAAATCATCAACAATCGACAATGCATCACGCTCGAAATCACAAAATTTAAAATCAAAAATAAGCTTCTGTCCCTCGATATTGTCGATAAAATCAAATTGTGCAACTTAAATTACATAAAATAGCTTTGAAATAGAAAGAACATATGTAAAGAAAATAGAGAGCTACTTTTGTCTGTGGAATTTTTGTCGTAAGATTTGTCAAATTGTAAAAATATATTGCAAAAATATATTTGCGACATTAATTGCTTGAAAAAAAGGACAAATGGTTAAAAAATTCTAATGATTTCCTTTCTCTTGTAACCATTCTTTTTCTTTCTTTCTATTATTATTGCTGCACTTACAAAAAAAATAACGCGAAAGCAGTAATAAATAAATGGATAAAGCCACCAACGACCGCGTTTTCAGACAGAACATTAGCTAAAAATTTACGATGCGCTCTAACCAGAATAACGAAAGAAGGTACAGCAGAATCAGGTTACATCAAAGCAGCAGAACAGCATCAATCACAAAGACTTTATATTTTTTTAAGTCCAAAGAAGAGTGATTGCCGTGCGTGCGTTTGATATTTTAAAACACGGCACGCTTTCGCTGATAACTGCTTCAAAGCTTTATGAGCCAGGATTAAGGCACGTAATACGATTGCAGCTTACTCGATATCGAATACGGTCCTTAGATACATTAATTATTTGCTCTGTCATTAATTACACAGCTTTATACGAGAGGCGACCTAATTCTAGTGCGTATTGGAATATTAATCCATATCCGCGTTAATTCGCTGCATAATAAATGGATGGATTGAGAACGTTAATAAGAATTTATCATATAAAGCTATACATTTTGATATTTTAGAGAATGGTTAAAAATTTTTGAATTTTTTTGTGATTGATGTCAGAGCGAAATGCTGCAAAAAATAATAAAAATGTAAAACTAGCACTCGGTTTCTCTTTAATGGAACGCATAATCGTCTCATTTTTCGTAGTCTCATAGTGGTCAGAACCGAGTTTTTGCAATTTATGCAGCGGGAAGAACGGGAAGTTACGTAATACGGCAAGGAAAGAGAATGCAAAATTAGATAGCGCAGCTTCATCTTGTGCGTCTGAATGGGAACGTCCGAGTATGCACGGTCCGGCACTACTTGCACTGCCATTACGACAGAGAGATATATGTAAATGATATATGTAGACAGAATATATTATTTCTCTCCTTCGAACTATTTCTTTAAAACCTGGAGAACGATATTACAGAGAATTGTACGAAAAGAAAGGCTATATGCACAGTTCCATTTAAAATTCAACTTGGGAATGTCAAATGTGTTTCCTTGTTACTTACTCAAACATTTCAACGAATATTTTAGCATGGATAAATAACCTTTAAAGGCAGCAAGGATAAGATTATTTCAGGATAAAGAAATATTATTTCTCTGTTGAAAGAAAACTTTATTTTGGCCAGCAATTTATGCATTTCAATAAATTTTATAGTTATTGTGACTCAAAATTTACAAAGTAATGTACAATTAATTTCGATTGATTTGCTACACGTAACAAATTTTACATTGAAAACAATACGCGATTAGACTTGGGTCATATTGTTTCGCTCCCCTGTTAGCTTTTTGGTTGAGTGTGAACAATAGATCAGACCGAAATGTCGCAACGATCTAATTAGCGAAGGCGCTACGTAAATAGATTTTGTACGCGCCTGTTGTCGGTTGTTTGTTCGCCGTTCGAATCACCCTCGGATCCTCGGGGAACAATGAAGTTTGAAATGTCATAGCTTCGTTGTGCAATATCTCGACAAATCGCAATAAAGCAATTGGTCGTAGAGCGATAGCGACTAGAAAAATAAATATCAAATCTAATCTAAAATAAATACAAAACGTATGAGAACTTTACATAAAAGCAAATACAAAAAATAATAAGCTCTCAGCAAAGATCACTTTAAATTATAAATATAAATTTAATATTTGAAAAAAGATTTAGTTTTTTAAGAAAGAATTACACTTATAGTGAAGAGAACCAGTTTATATTTTGCTCTCGAGTAACGAGCGTTACAGCATAATGAAATGAGACGAGAGTCATTTGGTTGCAAAAGCAAACATTATTACTCGACGAATAGAATTTCAGATATGGCCGATGGCACACCAGAGTGTAATTTGTTTGCGTTGCATGGCCTCAGGGTTACAGCCGTTGCGCTACGCGAAGAGACTCACGTACTGACTCTCACTCTAATTGTACCTGTAGCACTCAAAAGGGTACACGCGAGATCTAGTTGTAAAATCTAACAGTTCGTGAACTGACGTAGTAAATTAATTATACTTAATACGAAATACATAATGTATAAGTTTTTGAAAAATGTGAAATAAATCAGAATACATCACCTGTATTTAAAAGAATTTGTTTTATTCAAACAAACATGTATCCTTCAATTCGAGTTTCGGAAATTGCACTATCTGTTCGATCCATTTTGCTATGCTAAGTAGCCTCTGTTCGTGAAAAAGTGGCGCCATTAATTGCAATGACAAGGGCAGTCCTCTGCGAGAGAGCTTGATCGGTACGTTGATAGCAGGTAAACCAGCCATATTCGCGGGTTGCGTACAGTGGTCCTGAATCAAACATTGCGTCTGATTGTCCAGCATTGCAAATTCGTTGTAACTGGGAGCTTCGGTTAACGTCGTCGGAGTTAACAGAAGATCTATATTATTGTTCCATAAAACGTCAAAGTCCTGCGCGATTAATCTACGCATTTTCATCGCCTTCACATAATACTCCTTGTAATTCTCTGCTAAAAGAAAATAATTTCCGACTAGTATGCGACCTTTGACTACATCATTAAAGCCTTCTGATCTGGTTTTTGTGTACAATTTGTTAGTCGAACTCCACTCGTCGGCTCTGTGACCATACTCTATACCGTCATAACAAGCCAAGTTGCTAGCTACATCACATCGATTTAGGACGGAGTAACATACGATGGAATAATTGGTGTGAGGTAATGACACTGGGATAATACTGGCTCCCGCTTCCTCCAGATGACGAGAAACCCTGTCCCAACATGCCTGAACCTCCTCGCTTATTCCTTGTACTCCATACTCTTTTGGTATTCCAATCCTAAGATTACTAACGTCTACTGTTTCGGATAAGTTAATTGGAACATATTCTCTTTGTACAGTAGTAGGATCTGCCGTATCAGAACCAGCTATAGCATTCAAGATTAATACAGTATCGTCTACTGTTCTCGCAAGAATACCAGGCACATCCATTGAATTCAACAGAGGAATAAGGCCATAACGTGACACCAGACCGTAAGTTGGTTTCAAGCCAATTAAACCGCAATACGATGCAGGGTTGCGAGTAGAACCACCAGTGTCAGAACCCAAAGCTGCGTAACAAGTACCCGTGGCTACTGCAATTGCAGAACCTCCACTACTGCCACCTAAAACATTTATCATGTCCAAAAATTTATCATGTAATTATCAAAATAATTATAAAAGCAGCAAATGCGTTAAGCAATGACTAACAATTTATAGCAATATACCTGCTATGCACCATGCATCTTTTCCATGCAATTCCTGTGTAAGAACCGGTGAAGACTCGCACGAATAAAATTGCGATAATACTTTTGAGCCCCATACATTCTTTGTTGGCCCATAAAACGAATCTATAGTACCAGAACCCATGGCAAACTCATCTAGATTAGTTTTGCCAATCAAAACAGCTCCTTGCTTCCTGAGTCTCTCATAAACCGTGGCATTATAGCCAGGGGAAAAGTTGGCCAACATTCTCGAGGCACAGGTCGTAGGTTTGTTCTTGACGCAATAATTGTCTTTGACAGCAATGGGAATGCCATCGAGCTGTCCCAACAACGAATTCTGTCGTTGTCTGGTATCGGCATCGCTTGCTTGCTTCTCCGCAACATCATTCGTCACGGTAATATAAGCGTTTAGAGGTTTGACAATCGAAGTTAACTTCACAGACGCTTTGCAGATTTCGGATGGACGTACTGTGCCATCGTGGATCTTCTGACTGACCTCCCTAATTGTCGTAGATAACAATTTATTCATCACTAGTTCCGCGACATGTCACTCATGTACATAACCTTTTTGCCGGCGACAACATAACCTTAATGGCCGGAGCACAGACTTTTGCATAAAGCATAACGCATAAGCATAATAACTTCGATA